CGGTTCCATCGATGTTTCCACTTTTCAAAACAGTCCTGGAACTCGCTTTTAGGGATAGCCTTAAGTACAGTCGTCGCATTGTTTTCAACCGTTGTTTTGTCATCGAATCGGTGTTCTTTGAGTGGTTTTTTTAGTTTTGGAAACAGCCAAAAGTCACAAGGGGCTATGTCGGGACTGTATAGAGGTTGTCGAAGCAATGCGATATTGTGTTTGCTCAAAAACTGCTGCACAAGATTGGATGAATGCGCTGGCGCATTATCGTGATGGAGAAGCCAGTCACCACTTTCCCAAAAGTGCGGCCGTTTTCTTCTTACTGCATCACGCAAACGTTGCAAAATTTGAACGCAGTATTCTTTATTGATTGTCTGACCTGTTGGTGCATATTCGTGATGTACAATACCTTCACAATAAAAAAAAACAATCAACATTGACTTAACACTGCTCCGACTTTGACGTGCTTTTTTTGGTCTTGGCGATTCAGAAAGCTTCCACTGTGAAGATTGTTGTTTTGTTTCAGGATCATAACCATAAACCCATGATTCATCACCTGTAATAACTTTTCTAAGCACATTATCATCATTATTGACCATTTCCAGATTATCCAGAGCGATTTCTAAGCGAATGTTCTTCTGCTCTGCTGTGAGCAATTTTGGGATGAATTTCGCACACACGCGTTTAATTCCTAAATTTTCGGTTAAAATTTCTGAAATGATAGTGTTTAGTATCCCAAGGTCTTCTTCTAGTTCTCGCACAGTCATACGACGATCTTGTTGGGTTGCAAGTCGCACCCGCTCAATATTATCTGCGGTTTTTGTCGTCGAAGATCGGCCGGAACGAAAATCACTATCGACAGAAGTGCGACCATCCTTAAACCGTTTATACCACTCTTTTATTCGTGTTTTGTTTATACATTCGCTTCCGAAGGCCTTTTGCATCATTTCAATAGTTTCCAAACTCGTTTTTTCGAGTTAAAAGTAAAATTTGATGCAAATTCGTTGATCTTGTTTTTCAGTCATTTTTGACAATATCAAAATCCAACGAACACGAAAATGGCACTGTAAACAAAGACACGCTGCGCATGAACTATACGTGCGACAGGTGCCAGTAAGTAACAAATAGGTTCGTAAGGCTTTACTGTTGACGTTTTTGTCCGGTAGAGGTCGCTCGAACACTATGGCGCGAAGATATAAACGTAGGCCTGATACTTTCCGGACAGACCTCGTAGAGTATAAAATGCGAAATGCAATAAACAGTATAAAAATTCTCACAAAAGATAAGATAGATATTAAAAACGACATAAAAATTTTTAACTAAGATCATCATTGAAAATCGTAAGTAATTAGCCATAATAAGAACAGAAATTTAAATTTATAGATTATTAGGATTGACGTGCCGTGACAAGGAAGATGTTCTACACTGCACTTGCAGGTTACTGTTACAAGCAAGAAGTAAAGAAATCTTTTATTTTTTTATTTCTCAAAGAGAGTGCAAAGAAAAAATTCTAATTCAGAAATATTTATCTAATTCAAAATATCACAAACATGAGGTTGCTCGTTGCTGATCATCAAAGTTATAGTGTGAATCGATACTTTACATAGTTTACAAAATCCGCGATGTACACGTCACGATACATGAAGTGGTTAGGCCGCCACACTAATAACTTTTAAAGAAGGTTATGGGGAACAGCTAAGCAACGAACAATGCTATTTTACAAACAACGTAATCAGTTAATACAAATTTCTAATATCGGAATATACAGGGTGACCCATTTTAATCGCTACACCTGAATTTTTCGAATTCCAAGACAGATAGGAAAAAATGGTTCAGACAAAAGTTGTAGGGGACGAAAGGGGCCAAACAATGGTTCTATCAAATTTGACCTTGAACTTGACCTTCAAGGTTATTTCAAGGTCAAGTGGTTTTTTTGAATAGGAACACCTATTTTTGACCCCGGATTCGGAAAGAGCGGAAAATTTCACGTTTAAAACCATATTGAGACATTTTATTCACGGTCATTTCAAGGTCAAATCAATGTCAAACTCCGAAAAATCCATTTTAAGTCGTTTTTCCACGAGTCACAGGCTTAAGTGGTTCAAATTGATCGTTGATTTAAAACGGAAACCCATAACCCAAAACTTTCACATCCTAGTAAACAAAAATCGAACTTGCACATCCGAACCCCATTCTCTTCATAGCCTCACATGCTAAACTGTTACACCAGACATCTCCCAGTCCCACACATCTCTATCCCATGTATGATGTTTGTTTAACGGAAACTTCATGATCATTGAAGCTTCTGTTGTAAATGTATCAACTTTACGTTTAGCGCTACCCAGAAACAACGATGTGGACGTAGTAAGGACTGTTTCCTCTGGGGTGCTTGAGTGAGTCCCCGTGTCTCTCACACTATTCAGGGTAATTAATTAAAGTGAGTCCCTTCGCCTCTCACTGTTCGGGGTGCTTGATTTAAGTGAGTCCCCGTGCCTCTCACTGTTCAGGGTGCTTGATTTAAGTGAGTCCCCGCGCCTCTCACTGTTCGGGGTGCTTGATTTAAGTGAGTCCCTTCGCCTCTCACTTATGTGTTTATCGAGCCTCGAAGCAAATGTTCGAAATTACGACCATTTGCTTCCAGGCACATAGTCAAACGTCTTTGGAAGTGTTGAACGGTGTTTAGCAAAGTTTGCCTTGGAATGGCATCGCAAGTTCGACGAATTCTGTCCATCATGTCTAATCTTGTGGTGGGCCTTTCTACAAAAACGGCATTTTTTAAGTACCCCCATAAGTAAAAATCTGGTGATGTAAGCTCGGGTGAGCAAGCAGGCCATTCAACCGGACCACCTCGACCAATCCATCTGTTACCGTACTGATTATTCAAAAAAGTCCTGACAATTCGAGCGAAATGTGGTGATGCGCCGTCCTGCTGGAGCCACATTCTCCGTTGCGTTTCTAAGTCAACATCATCCATCAATACAGGTATTGATGGAATATAATATCTTATATATAATAGTTAATATCTCTTATTAGCGTTAAATACGTGTGTTGATTAACATTTTCTTCGAAAAAGTAAGGGCCAATCAAATATCCATTAATAATCCCACACCATACCATAATACTCCAACGTCTTTGATGGTTTACAGTTCTGACCCAATGAGGATTAACATCAGACCAGTAATGACAATTATGTCTATTCAATTCCCCATCACTTTGAAATTTTGCCTCATCAGAAAAAAGAACAAAATTAAAAAAGTCTGGATCATTTTCTATCATTTGTAAAGCCCATTGGCAAAACACAATACGCTGTTGAAAATGAGCAAACTGTAGCTCTTGGACCAGAGTAATATGATATGCATGATGTCTAAGCACCTTCATAATTCTTAAAAATGTACTTTTTGGAATACCGATTTCCCTTTCGACTCGACGAGCGCTTATCTGTGGGTCAAGATGAATTATTGCTAGAATATTCACAACCCGATTATCATTTTGATCATATTGATGGCGCCCACGTTGACGAACCATGTGTCCACCACGAGCTCTTTGAGTTAAACGTCTGATAGCCATAGCTTCGAGGTGTCGTCTGTCTTGATAGCGTTCAGCATAAATTCTTGCCGCAGCACGATAATTATTTCGGCTTTCTCCTAAAGCCAACGTCATGTCAACGATCTCGTTGGACGCGTAGTCAGCTATTTCAGAGGCAGCTATTAATTATTATTAAATTTGAATAGTGAAATGGTATAAAAAATAATAATATTTATTGTTTCGAAAGTTATGACTATTCTTTTTAAACAATCACATTATTTACAGCTCATATCTTCAATTTTCTCATAACTTTCGAAAAAACAAATAAAGATACAACATTTTTTTTTTTACAAAAAGCATCAAATTAGTTTTTTATAAAATTTACAATTAATAAAGTGTGACAAACGTTTTTCTTTTTTAGTCGCAACCACATACAGGCGAATATTATAATTATTAATATTTTTGATACCATTTTACTATTTAAATTTAATAGTAATTAATGGCTGGCTCTTAAATGGTTGACTATCAGCCTAAAAAGATTATTGACACGACGTTACTTTTAGGAGAAAGCTGAAGTAATTATCGTGGTGCGACAATCGGAAATCAGTATTTTAAGGTAGGGGCGAAGGGACTCACTTAAATCAAGCACGCCGTACAGTGTGAGGCGAAGGGACTTACTTTAATTAAGTGATGTAACTAAATCTACGATCAGTTTGAACCACTTAAGCCTGTGACTCGTGGAAAAACGACTTAAAATGGATTTTTCGGAGTTTGACCTTGATTTGACCTTGAAATGACCGTGAAAAAATGTCTCAATATGGTTTTGAACGTGAAATTTTCCGCTCTTTCCGAATCCGGGGTCAAAAATAGGTGTTCCTATTCAAAAAAACCACTTGACCTTGAAATAACCTTGAATGTTAAGTTCAAGGTCAAATTTGTTAGGACCATTGTTTGGCCCCCTTCGTCCCCTACAACTTTTGTCTGAACCATTTTTTCCTATCTGTCTTGGAATTCGAAAAATCCAGGTGTAGCGATTAAAATGGGTCACTCTGTATATCGTACTATTGATTACACATACGCTCGAAATATGATTCTCATTTACTGGAGTTTATCTTGGTAATTTGGATTATATTTTTACGTAAAAATGAAAGATTATTAAAAAGAATTATTTACTGTGATTTGATTAATTGCAGTAAATAGTTGATAATTAACCTGTTAACCGGGGAAATCCCTTTCTAATTACGCAACATATAACGGGCGCGTCCTTTTCCACTAAGACGTGTATGAATGACGTATTACCATAGTAGTAATAAAATATACGTCCCGCCCGTTCCAGGGCGCAATATAAATATCGAGGACGTATTCATATGTCCTACCCGTATCCGATATTGTTTACTTTTGACGTATTTATACGTTCCGCTCGGTTAACAGGTTAATAAAGAAAAAACCATTTTTGTTTTTTATATAAATACAAGAGTACTTACATTAGTTACTATTGAAGCTCTATTTTTAATCAACGTTTCGGTAAACTGCCTATATTGATAGCTTGTTGGAAGTTTTTGTAAAGCTCGAATGAGTTTTCCATATAAAATACTTAGTGAACGACGAGGGTTCTTATCGATATGGAGTCCAGTTAAGGTGGTTGTCTGTGAATCAAGAGAAATAATGCTAGATCAGTAAGACTATAAGATCCATCATTTCAATTTTTAAATTTAAATGAATAATTCTCAAAAAATATTAGTATATATTTGTAGGCTGATGAAAGAAAATGAAAAAATCTATAATATACATCTCCTAAAAAGTACAAACATTTTATATTCCTTCTATTTTAAGACTAAATATTCTCCGTTCGTTTATAATAGTACATATGCGAGTTATTTTCAAAAGTAACGTGGCAAATTCTAAAATGTATGATCATGAGAATTGAAATAAGCAATAACCGCTTAGAAAATTTGTATGCAATTTTACAATTTTATATCTTTGACAGTTAATGGTTATTCGGCTATTTAGATTCTTTGTGGGTTGTTATGACAATCAAATAAAACTAAAGTTCTCACAAAAATGATACCAAGATCATGATAAACCAATCCAAAAAGTCAAAAATGGTATGGATAATTAATTTGAGTTTTACGCAAAATAAATGCAACGTGAGCACCGCTGAAATTCACTTGATTTTTCTCGTGGCATGTCAAACTCTTTGATCATCGCGGGTAGCACCTCCGAATCTAAAATACCTGGATTATGATACACCAGCTCGTAAACGCGTGGACGAACTTAGCAATAGACAACAATTCGAGCACTAATCATTGGTTAAAGAAATAAATGATGAGTGAGTGTTGTTCCAACATAATATAGCTTGTGCTTACACATGTACTAACTTATGCGAGTTTCTTCATTGCCGAACAAAAGGCTAAACATTTATATAGTTAGTATACTAAAATATAACTATAGCAACATACATCTGCATCATTAGATTAGCAATGGCAGTCTGAAACAATTCCATTCAGTAAAGTTAATATAAAATTAATCACCGGTAGCTTAGTAACTGTGCTATTTGACATTGAAATTAACATTTTACTTCTAATAATATATAATAGGTTATTCTGTAATGACAGATCACCGAATACACCAAAGGGAAATATAAGAATTGCACACAATTAATGATCAAAAAATATTGTCTAACAAATATTGTTTAAAATATATTTAGAGTCGATGTGCATCCATAGTGCTTAAGAGCTTTCTACTGCTGCTTTTAACCCCTTGTACCATTTTGCTCTAGTGTACTATATTCTGCAAGTTCACTAATGGATGGTAGGTGAGTGCAGGGACCATAGCAGTATACACTCAATTTTTGTATTAAATTCTGCTCCTTGCATGTTTGCCATCTCTGCACTAATTATAATTAAGTATCCTCTGGATATGTATAAACTAAAATACGGCTTACTACTCTATCAATCTTTGTGCAGACCTAAATATAAATATAGTTTTCTCATTTGCGCTACATGTATACATGTCATTTATACCTATCAACACGCTTTGGAACCATCTAAATAAATATAGGACCATTTTCTTTATTATTACTTAAAATTGAATTACAATCTATCTATCAAATTTTGACCATAAGTAAATGTGATAGCTATGATGATAAGTGAACATGATATGAAACATAATACTCCAATAAGTATGCTGTATTTGCTTTCAGATTACTTTGCATATTATATAAATTTTAGTTTAATTATATTTTTATTAATATATGTTTCTTGAGTTTAATAGTAGTGTGACGTGTGAGGCGATCGTTGAGATCGCTCGGCCTGTTCGCCTGCCTCTCTTCTGCGTGCCTTTCCCTTCGCCACTGTTTAATCGATGTCTTGATCGTTCGAACCAAGTCTCAACGCTATAAGTGGCTTTGTTTCAGGTCTAATTCCTGATAAGGGTCGGTGGTCGGAGCGGCTGAAGTATTGCTTGGCGTAATCCGCATATGTTTGCGTAGCCGGCGGCGCTCGGCCGATTTTGAGGATTGTAGAGATGGGCGATAATATGCCGCGGAAAGCGATAGAGTGCGAGTAGGACTGGTCTGATCAGCATTGCGACAAGAACCAAGTGAGAAAAACCTAATCACGAGTGGTGTAGAGACAACAAAGAGGGGCGCAAACGGAGATTTGCCTTCCCTTGTGGAAACGTGGAAACGACGAGGAAGTCCACGACGAACAACAGCCCCTCCGCTGCTAGGAATCACGGACAATAATCGGAAAGGCAGGCAACGACTGCTACCAAGGCGTTAACGAGCGGCAGAGCAGCAACAGCAGCAGCTAGCTAGATCTTCGGCGACGCCCCTCTCTCAGATCAGGTACTTTTGATATTTTGGTGCGCCCTTCGCTTCTTTCTGTCGCCGAAAACCATCGGGACTCGAACCTGCAAACCCAAGCAGAGACTGTACAGATCATGGAAATTCCTCAGGGGCAGACAACGGACGTAACGGTGGAGCCCTGGCTATGGATCGTTGCAGCCGAGGAGCTCGGAAAGGACACGGCCAAGGAAGAAATGATAATAGAGCCGCGCAAGAAGAAGCAGAGGCGTGGCGGCCGCCTGGCCAGGACGGCGCGGTTAAGAAATTGTTGGACGAAGTAAGGCAAGAACATGAAGAAACCAGCTCTCACCAACGGAATGTGGAGATAGTCTTACGGCGTACTTCACCCGGTCGGAGTGATGACGCTAGCGCGGCCAACAATTCGCGGCCAACGATTCATGGCCCTTCCCTTGAGCCTCCTCGCCCTCGTCCCGAAACTAAGAGTTCGGCCGCCGACGACTTATGGACGGGAGTGCAGGTCAAGGAGTTGGGTAGGCTGGCTAGGGCAGTCGATTCTAGCCATCCGACTCCAGCCAAATACATCAGGATTGTGCGGCTGCGATACTTCGCGCTGCAAAGTTGCACTACCAAGAGTAACCTCGAACATAAATTAATAGACTGATGAGTAGGAGTAGGATGTAAATTTGGCAAGTTCTGGTAATGTATGAATGTGTATTTATGTGTGTAGATGTTACCCTTTCTGTTTCTCCTTCATCCCGACGAATGCCCAGGACATCCAGCGTTGATGCTTGGAAGAGAGATTGAGAGAATCGTTGGACTTGGGAGAGGGAGTGTGATGAGTGAGGCGATCGTTGAGATTGCTCACCCTGTTTGCCTCTCTCTTTTCTGCGTGCCTTCTCCTTCGCCGCTACTACATCGTTGTCTTGGTTATTTGAACTAAGTATCGATGCTCGATGTGGCTTTGTTCCAGGTCTAATTCCTGATCGGGATCGGTGGTCGGAGCGGCTCAAGGCTATAGGTGAGATAAGGAAAGAGAGAGAGAGAGAAAAAGAAAGAGTGATAGTGTCGCCTGGCGTGATTCGCACATCTGTGCGTAGCTGGCGGCGCTCGACTGATTTTGAAGATTGTAGGGAGAGGCGAGAATATGCTGTGGGAAGCGGGAAAGCGCGAATAGTACTGGTCTGACCAGCGTTGCGACAATAGCTAAGGGAGAAAAACATAATCACGAGTGGTGTCAAGATAACAACGAGGGACATAAACTTTAAATAATTAGAGACGTGACGTTATATAAGCTGATTCTTAATGCGCGCCATGAGGTCGCTTAAGAAATAAAACGCTAATTATGTCACAGTAGTTATTGTTGTCTTGAGTAGTTTATTGATAAGTTTATTTGAATGGTTTTATAGTCTCGTGATATATTATTTATAAAATATTTTACTTTCTTCTTTTACTGATTTTATATGAAAGTTATTTGAGATAATGTCGTTTGGTGTGAACCATGGAGCCCGTATGATATTTCGTAGGAGTTTCGATTGAAATCGTTCCAAGATCAGTTCAAACTGGTTTGAGTACAGCTTTGTACAGCAATACCTTATTTTCAGTTGATAGCTTCCATTTTTCTCCTATGAGCCAGTACATTTTCTTCCATTTCAATCTCAGTTTACGTTATCAAGTATGTATTATTTTTCGCGGCTTTGAATCGTACCACGCGCATTTTTAAATTTACAAATGATTCAAATATACAGGGTATTTCATTTTAATCCGACCAAGTGCATAACCCAGTATAAAAACAAACGTTATAAAAAAATGACCTTTACAAAAGTTGTAGGGAACTGAGTGGGCTACCAAATGCTATCATCAACTTTGACCCTTAATTCGATTTTTAAGGTCATCTGAAGGTCAAAGTGCTTTTTTAATTGGAACCCCTATTTTTGACCCCGGAAACGTGTAGAGTGGGAAAAATGACATCCTAAATGATATTTCACATTTGTATTTATGATCTGAGAAAGTCAAGTGAAGGTCAAATGCTCAAACCGTTCGCTTTTAGTTATTCGCTCCGCAATAAAGAGTGCTAAAGAAGCGGTAAAAAAGTTCAAAGGTAGAAATAAAATACGTATACCACGTATTTTACCAATTCCAAAAGCTGTGGGTAGAGCTCTTTCTTTTTCAATTCTATTACTTGCTACTTTGACTGCTACTGGTGCTTTCGCTAGAGACGCTGCTTCATTGGCAAAAGCTACCAACAGTGCTAAGGCTGTTGAAAATGAATTAAGAGGTTCATAAACATAATAAGATTATGGAACGAATTGATATAGGTAAAGGTCTTTACTTAAAACACATAATATCAGTTGTGGTATGCATTTCAAGCCATATATCAATGGGAGAAGTCTAAGAAAAAAACCTCGAAATAGCTTTACCTAATCGTGCACTGGCAGATCTAGATATGAAAAAATATATTTAATTAATGAAAATTGATGATTTTTGAAGAGTTTTCATGCGTAATGCCTTGCCAGCTAATGAACCTCGCTATCTAGAATTGGCTATTATAAAGTACATGATAAAAATAGTCCAGGTACTGCAACGGTAGTCGATTTAATTAATCGAACCGTTCGCGATTCTGCTTCTCGCGCGTTAGTTCTAATAGTTAAGAGAGAGAGAGGGCGCGCGATCTTTTGAATGAGCAGTTACGCCTCAGCTGTGAACGCGAATTTACGGCCGAATTGTGTCGCACTTACTTTCGCCAAAATAAAGCTTCCTTGGGACAATTACGTGCGTGTGTGCAACGATAGTATTGCAGCAGCAAGCAGCGGTGCAGAAGTAGCAGATTGCAGCAGATAAAGGCTGATCGAGGCAGCGCAGCTGATAATCGAGGGGCAGCGGCAGTTGATATTTTTGCAACAACAATTACGGCTGATCACCGTAATTGCACCGCATGGTAGGTGCATCTTCCGTCATTATAAGCGATACAAAATACATTCAGTATTTTGTCTATTCGTTATAGCGTTATTTTTTGTATTCGCGTCGAGCGTTAGTTCGCGGTATAATTCGAATCTTCTCTCTCTCTCTTTCTCACCGAATATAACTAATTGTAAAATCCTATTCGCGCGCGTTAGTCTTTCGGCCCTACAAAGACTGTAGTGATTTTTTATTAATTAAAATCTGTTAAATTTATTCGCCATTTTCGTCATTGAATTTTCCTAGTAGCTTAAGTAATTGAAAAAGGCTTAGGTTTTAATCCGATTACATCTAGAGGATTAAGAAGATTAGAAGTAAAGTCGCTCACACTTAAAACTCATCGAGTGTCACAAGACACGTGACTTAAGGTGAGTTCAACTCCGTTTGAAGAAGACAACTGGGATAAATCATCTGACGTTAAGGCGAATACACGTACTATCATACGTGTTTAACGGAGCGGTGTTTGCTCTGCATCGTGGGAGTTTGTTCTTAAATAAATTTCCCATTTTTCAGATAACCTCCCCCATTACAGTACTCATTAGGTAGCTTACAAAAAGAGAGGAAATGAGGTTATATACTTTGATAGTTTTGGTAACTTTCAACTAACTATAAATTTATTACTTTATTTTGCAGTGGATAGATTTAAATATAACCACGTTAGATATAAAAAATTAAATACTTACCATTGTGATCATCTTTGAATACACTATTGTTCAGTCCTCGGCCTTCATTTCCGAATTTTCCCCTCAACATCAGTTTTTTTGTCTGGCTGGCTTCTTTTCCGCTCAAATCGATGAGCCCATGGTAAACAGTTGTGAAGTCATGACTTTACAAAATTTGACATAGTGAGACAGAACGCTCTGGCGCTCTGAGCTCTAGAATAAAGATCGGTACGCACGATCATTCAGTCTAATAATTCTAGCAGCTCAAGGGAGGCATTTTCAGTGATCTTTCCAGGGATTTTTCCAGTGGCCTTTAGATAGGCTTTTCCAGTCGCCTTCCCTGAAGCCCTTTAGTATGACTTTCCAAGGTTTTCCCAAGAAGACTTCGTAGACCTATCAGTATTTGTTGCCAAACCTAAAGAGTTTTTTAAAGTTTTCCAAAGACTTTTTCAGTGAAATAAAAAATTGATCAGTGGCAACATTCTTAATCCTATTTTAAGTCAACGCCTTCTGAACTCAACCGTCATCAAGATTTGTTTATCTTTCATCTTCACCAAGACTCAATATGATGATAAGAAAGTTATATCACACAGTCTTGATAATGAATAACTATACTATAAAAAGTTGAACAGTAAAGAATGAAAGTTATTTGTTCTACGATCGTCATGGAAAATACACTGACATTGAGTCTCTCAGGAAAATCATTTGTCTTCGAAACAAATTATTTTTCGCTAATCGAACTACTACCAAATAAAAGCTATGTACTTGGACTAGTAGAGCTATTGACATTTAACTCGGTACCAAACATTGACGTTGGTAGTAATAAATTTTGTATTGAAGGTCAAGAAGAAATCATTTTACCGACTGGTAGTTATGAGATTTAAAATATAGAAATTTTTTAAGAAAGAAGTCTTAATATCAAAGAATATATTATTTAGCCTGAAACCAAATAACAATACTCTACGTAGTGTTATTCAATGCAGTCGCGAAATAAATTTTGAACCAAAGGGGTCTATCGGATCGATTTTAGGCTTTCCTGCACGTAAACTTACTCTAAACGAAACGCATAGTTATAAATTACCAGTGACTATACTAAAAATGAACGCTTTAGATGTAAGGTGTAATATTATTACAGCTACTTACGTAAACGAACATAAAGTTGCAAGAGTTGGCGACCTCCGTGCGCCTGGGCCGAGCACTGCTATTATTATTTGAGGGTTCTATCCCGGTGAAGAAAGCCGGCGCTGACTTTCACAGGTCAACCAATCGCTCTGGCTGGGAGAGTATGAGAGTGACATAAGAATTTACCGAGAATTTAAGTTTAAAAGGCGATCTCTTTTATTACACCTTGGAACACAAAACAGGCTTACAACAATTTTACAGCGAAACATGAGCGAGCGCGCTCGCTCAGCCCGGATCGCAACAAATCTTAATCGAATCACGCGAGTGAATTCGCGTTTTTCTAAAAAAAATCCACGATCAATTTAGACGAGCACGAGTTGGCGCGAGAGAAAAAATGCTCAGAAGAGTGATTTATCAGGTATCGACGACTCGTTGATGGAGAAGCGGCGTCGGCGGAAGCGAAGTCCTGCTGGCAATGGTGCCCTGGTAATGACCTGCGCCGATTTGGGAGCAGCCGTAGTGCTGCTGGCGCTCCTCGGATGTGGAATCTTGGCTTTTGGTCGACTTCGGCCTTAACAGACAATTCTAGATGCTGGCGTATAGGTGACAAACGAGCACCAGGGTTGACTCTACTTCCTTTGTGTTGGGCAGCTCGTCAGACAATAAGTACTCATGTCGATTGACTATCGATTCGGCGGTCTTCTTAATACTCGGATAGCGTCTCACTAACTTTTCTTCTTTTCACATGTTTTTTTTTGCTACCACGCGCCGCTTCTGTTCCCTTTCTTTCTTAGCCAAAATCTCCATCGCTATCTCTCTCCCTCTCACTCACTCTTCTCACTCTCGCTCACGGTGCTACTTCGTCAGCCGCTACGCTCCCCTCTCCTGGCCCTGCAACGATAGGGCATATACTTCTTGTCATTGTACGTGCTCGGTCTCTATGTTCACGCGAAAAGAGTGCCACGCACAGGGCCAGCGAACTCGTTGTAGCCGTGTCACAAAGTGCACACTATACATGAATTTTTTCCAGTCGCACCACCTGGATATAAGATTATAAAAGTTCCTTCACACGTCATTTATCTTTCAGTCAACGTAAGAAACATTGATCATTTACAGATACGTATTGTTGATTAAGACAGAAATCTAGTAAACTTTCGTGGATAAATTATCACTGTACGATTGCGTATAAAAGCTATATTATCATAATGGGTATTGTACACAACAACAAGTATGTTACGATAGGACGAAGGTAATTTAATAGATCGAAATGTCAGACAGAGATCAGTCAACAGCGAGCTATCCCAACGCTTACACCTCGCAACATTCAGTTTGTGATACTATTCTTTAAATTTAACGCGTTTTGGGGAAATATAATTCCCACGAGTTATGTAAAAGCCCGTGCCCAAGCGCCGTGTCACAAATTATTTAAAAGGGGAAGGTAAGGGAGGCTCTTTCGCTCCTCTGAACGGTGACGATGGGCCTCGTCACTAAATTGACGTTTTTAGCTTTAGATTGAGAGGAAGGGAATGACGGGCGCACACAATGATTACTCCCGATAACCGTTAACAATATTTATTCCTCTACGTTTAATAATCAAAGAGCGACGACGGGAATTTACGCGTCGTCCTCTACGGCCGCGTGCCTGCGCAAGTGCGACCAATCGCACGGGGGCACGTTACAATAATTTGAGAGGATTACAAAGGAGGGACTCGCTTTGCTCGCCGATTTAGCCGTGCTCGTGGAAAATCGCGAGCACTTCGCCGACGCGTCGGACACTCGCGAATAGAGAGAGAGAAAGAGAGAGAGATGACCTGACCTGGTGAAGGCTGCTGGCAGGAATCGCTGCTAGTGCTGCTGGCAGGAAATGCTGCTGGAGCGGCTGTTGGCAGGAAATACTACTGTGGGCAAAAAGTAAGGTGAATTTTCAATTTAAACTTCGCGGGCTTAACATTTCGGGCTAGTTCTTTTTTTCTTGAGTTGGTAGGACTGCGAATGACATCTGGGACAAATTTCATGTCAATGTCATCATCAGTAATATATTTACGCTTGTGTTTACCAAACGACCAAGAGTGCATGTTTCGATTTTTACAATGTCTGATTTAATTGAGCAAAGAAGTGCCATCAAATTTTGTTTGCGGAATGAAATTTCGGCTGCGGAAACGTTGAGGATGTTGCGGAAGGCCTTTGGTGATTCTACCATGTCGCAGAAAAATGTTTATAAGTGGTACAAAGACTTCAAAGAGGGTCGAGAACGTGTTGATGACTTGGAGCGCTCCGGACGACCATCGACGTCAACAGATGACCAACACGTCAATAAAGTGAAGGAATTAGTGCTCGAAAATCGTCGGTTGACTGTTAGAGACCTTACTGATATGATCGGAATATCATAAGGATCTGTGAAAACAATTTTGAAAGACCATTTGGGCCTACGAAAAGTCAAATCTCGTTTGGTACCGAAAACGCTCAATTTCTTGAAAAAAAGTCGCCGCGTTGATGTGTGTGAAACAATGCTTTCTGACTATCAGGACAAGCTCAAATGCATGATTACGGGAGATGAGACTTGGATTTATGCTTACGACCCTGAAACAACCGACCAATCAAGCGAATATCGTGCTAAAGGCGAGGCCAGACCGAAAAGAGCACGTCAAAGTCGTTCAAAAATCAAGGTCATGATGACAGTTTTCTTCGATTTTCGTGGTGTGGTGCACTATGAATTCCTTCCACCCGGCCAAACTGTTAATAAGGAATATTATTTGAGCGTTATGCGTCGTTTGCGTGAAGCAATTCGTCTAAAAAGACCAGAATTATGGGCCAACAACTCTTGGTTTTTACATCACGATAATGCACCATCTCACACTGCACTCGTTCTTCGTGACCATTTCGCCAAAAATTCGACGCATATCGTTCCGCAACCACCGTATTCGCCTGATTTGGCTCCGTGTGACTTCTGGCTATTCCCAAAACTCAAGAGACCACTCCGGGGAACGCGTTTCGAGTCGATTGAGGAGATAAGAGCTGAATCGAAGAAGGCGCTGATGGCTATACCGGAAAGGGACTATTTGGCATGTTTCGAGGATTGGAAAAAACGTTGGCATAAGTGTATTTTATCGGGAGGGGATTACTTCGAAGGGGATGACATTGATGTAGAAGAATAAATAAAGATTTTTCATTTTACAAACAAATTCACCTTACTTTTTGCCCACAGTAGTACTACAGGAACTGCTGGCAGGCTTGCGGCAGGCTCAAATGGATTCCACGATGCCTCAGGTGTCGATAGAAATCCTCTTCGGGCTGTACTGTGCTCGGCCTCGTCTATCTCCTTTGTCTCGTCTTGACTATTTGATTTTCTCTCGTGTGCGCACGCTTGACCATCAAATCGACTATCTCAAGATCTCGGTTCGAACTCTCTCCGCAACCGTTCGCGCGCCAGCTCGAGTAACGCCGGCGGCTTCGCTCTCGGGAGCGGATCGCCGCGGGTCACTCGCGCTTGTTAACTCTCTACTCGCGACGCGTCAATCTCTCTCTCTCTTCTTCTTGCCACAGCCGCTCTTGCTCCTAATTGGCTCCCAATGACGATGTCCTGCTCAGGTATTGGCGCTGAAATAAAGCGGTGCGAGCATCGGTATCAGTTCGTAATTTCTAAACGCTCGCCAGGGCAATAGTGAAGGA